GCAGTGATTTTGTTCACATTCTTGTTTGCTGTTGTAACTGTTGGAATAGTGATAGTCATTATGAAGTTAGTATTGCCAAGTTGTGAGTTTGAATAATATTACTTTGTTGATATAGGAAGAAATTTAACTATGTCAGTGATACTAGATCTAAAACTGCTGTATATGATGATCCTGATATTAGTTTGAAGGAAGTTAAACCACAAGCAGTTAATGATGACGTTAAAATTGAATCAACTGATCCTATTTCTGCTGCTGATTATGAAGTTCCTGTCACTGCAATTACTGAAGAGACTGTTGACAAAGCTATGCGATGAAGCTAAATAAGCATAAAAATAATAAACATGCATTAACTAAAATAGCTACTTACTATTAATACTAGACTAGTCTGTTAATGTTATTATGTTTGCTGCTTGTTAGTCAAAACAAAAATTTTAAATGAAGCTGCATACATGGAATCAAAGTTACTAGACTAATATGAAGAATAATTAATTGTTTGAATTCTTTTGTGATTAATTTTAAGTTTTAAAAGGACCCAAGGCAGAATAATTACTACCTAAACTATTCTAGTTGTGCATACTGGTATAAAGTTATGTTATTACTGCTTAATTCACATTAGTCTACTTGGCAGAAGAGAAAGTGAGTTATTGTAACTAAAAGTTCACATTACCCCAAACCCACTCATATGAGTAAATGATGACCAATCAGAATTACTACAGTATAGTGGTATGTGGCTTGGCATAGCCTGCTGTACTATTGCCAACTTTTAGTCAAGATGGAGTATTGCTTCTCTTCTTTGTTGATAATTGTATTAATTGCAGCTACACTTTCAAATTGTGAAGGTATGATGGATTTGTTTTCTAGCATTTCTTTGATAACTATTTTTTCTCTCATAGTTTGCTCTAATACAATTATACCTCTGAAACAAAGCTACAATAATCTGACAACAGTATCAATAGGTGAATGTGCAACCTTACATTGTATACGAAATGATACAGTACAGTGGAAACTGAATGGAACTGATATTAGTAATGATGCTCATTACAATATCAATGCTACTAGTGGTACACTGACTATACAAGAAGTGAGGAGTACTGATACTGGAAACTATACTTGTGGTTCAGGAAGCATTTATCTAATAGTAAAAAGTAAAAATATATTTATTTGTATTTAGACTACTTC